ATTAACTGATTTTTTTTTTTTTTTTTTAGCATATTGATCAATTGTGTGGTGTATTTATTTATTTTTTTTAGATCAGTGCTTGTTCTGGTTGATCATGTGATCTCCTAATTCATCATGTGATTTCTTAAATCAGGATGGCTCCTAGTTCCAACATTGTTAACTTGGCATTGAAAATGGTCAACATGTGACCGAAAAGTTTGCCTTGTTTTTTCAGTAAATTGCTTACACTGCTTTCATCTCGCTTGTGACTTATTGATTTTTTGGGAGTGTGCATACTCTACTTTTTGGGGCAGATTAGGCCGCCATGGTCTAGGTAATTAAAGGGAAACATTGTACAACTTAAATAATTAAAGTAATATTTCAATTTATTTAAACTAATAGTTTAGATGTAATGTGAAAATCTAAAAATTCACTCTATACTACTATAAAAAGCTTCGTCAGCTCAGGAGCAGATGTTCTGATGGGGTCATGTGAGAGCGTGTGACCTGCAGGATCCGTTTGATGCGCTGTCTCTGAGGATTCTCGCCCTCCTCGCTGTCTAGCTGCCTGTGTGGGTAACAGATGAGCTGCAGCAAGCGCTGAGCCTGGATGTTCACCAGCACTGGATCCTGCAGAGCACTGCTGTCCTCCGACAGAGACTTCAGACACCGCTCACCCACCCACTCCTGAACCAGAGAGAAAATACAGCTAAATTAAATCTTAAGCGAAAGAAAAAAGTTAAATTTTTAAACTGGAAGGGAGCAGTGTGCTGCTGATCTTGATCACTTTTAGAGTGAATCAAGTCTGGCAGAAACAATTTTGGGTAATAGTGAGGGCACAGGTGTTTCTATCTTCACAACTTTAATCTATACTGATATTAAAAATAGGGATTATAACAGCTAAAATTCCTCCAAGGATGAGAATATGATTCTCTTAAAACCCTCACCTGTTGGCAGATGCTCTTCAGCACATACTTGGCATAAACCACCAGACTGGCCGTTTCAATCGAGACATTACGTCCTCCGGATTTTTTGGACCCCACGTCATCCTCTCCGATGTCGTCCAGTCCAGCAGAGTGGGAGAAGCCCGAACCCTTCAGCTCAGCGTCTCCTGGAGAAATAAACACAAAGTCACAGTTTTTAGGGACCAATCAATTCTGAATGCATTAACTGCCAGCTGGGTCTCATTATCTCCATCTCCCACTCCTCTGAACTTTAATTTGTTGCTTCTGGCCAAAATCCCAGACCAACATCCATAATAAACCTCTCTCCAATGAAAAAGTCCATCCCCTGTTGTCCCCTCACATTAAAATCAAACCACATTTTTGTTTTTTTAAACCGAGCATGATCTGTGCATATTTTTCTCCTGATCCAGACGAGATGACTTTTTCACTGGTATTATGGATAATGGACTATTTAGCTGGAAACCACAGTTTGAAGTTATATAAGCTTTTCGCTTCACAAGACATTAATTGATGGACTGGAGTGGTGTGGATTATTTATTTTATATTTACAAATATTTGTTTTTATCAGCTGTTTGGACTCTCAATCTGACGGCACCCATTCACTGCAGAGGATCCATTGGTGAGCAAGTGATGCAATGCTACATTTCTCCAATTCTGAAGAAGAAACAAACTCATCTACATCTTGGATGGCCTGAGGGCGAGTACATTTTTTAGCAAATGTTCATTTTTGGGTGAACTGTTTCTTTAATCTCCCTGTTTGACCGGCTAAAATGTGAATGCACAATAGAAAAGTAAAGTCTCAAAGTCTCACCCAGCATGAAAACAGCCTTTAACACGGCAAACACGGCTCCCACCACTATGCTGTTCTGAGAAGCAGCCAGCAGGTGTCGGTCACAGGACGATCTGATGCCCACTGTGGATTTATCTGTGGACAGAAACATTATTCTCAGCTTTATGGGTTCATCTAGAGGTACTGTCTAAAGTCGTTCAGGTGGGATGTGTAAAAGAAAGTTTGAGTTGATTTGGAGGGAGTTGCAACCTGATTTGGTGCCGTCTTGAGGACAGGGGTTGCGCTGTGGGGTTCTGAACAGATGAAGCAGGATCCTACAGGTAAGTCTGGCTCCAGGTTCAGAGTCCTGCTCACTACAGGCTGAAAACACACACACACACACGCACACACGTCACAAGCAGCATCTTCCATAAAAAGGCACTGGCCTCAGAATAGGACTCCATCATTTCTGGCTCACAGCTGCGTTAACGCAGTACAAACAGAATGAGCCGATCACAATACTGCAGACTGCCAGACAGACGGACCACCTGTGACTCAAACGAGCAGGATAAATAAACACCTGGGCGAAAGAATCCTTTGAAGTACCCAGAAGGATCCTCAGACTTGATTTAAGGTGTTGGTTCAACCAAACACACATTCTGTCATGAATTGCTCAACCTCATGTTATTCCAAACCGAATGACACAAATGTTGATGTACACAGAAGGTAAATGGAATTCTGATGAGAACAAACCTCACTGATTCAAGCATGTTCTCTTTCTCTAAATATACACTTCTGAACACCATCTTTCACTGCTGCCCTGAATAGCTCCTTGTGCATTGAGCCAATCAGAGACAGAGAGCGAGACTGTGGGCGGCAGAAGCAGCTCTCTGGCCGCAGGACAAAGCTGAAGATGGAGCTGCCTGGTGAGAAATGTGGAGACATCAAACAGGCTGGCATTTAGTACTGACGCCTGTCCGATTTCTCTGAACTCTGTTAGGTAACTGTGAAAAACTGAACGACTGCACCTCCAAGAGTAAGGTATGCAGTGACTGAGTGTCTGTATGGCAGGAAAACTGTGGGACATCAACTGAAAGAGCCGTACCTGCGTTCAGGAGGGAGGGAATGGCCACACAGCGCACCAGATCCTCCAGCAACAAACACTGCCGAGCTATCAGGATGGCAACGAATGTCGCCAGCGAGTCGTGGAAAGACAGATCACTCACCTGCAAAAAGAGAAAACGCATTCAATTATCACCAGGATCATCTAGCACAGCTATTTAAAGGGACAGTTCACCCAAAAATTAAAATTTGCTGCTACTCAACTCACAATCAGGCTATTTAAGATGTAGGTGACTGACTTTCTTCAGCAGAACAGTAAAGAAGATTTTTAGCTGAAACTGTGGCAGGGCTCTACAGTGCGACAATTTCAGCGACTGACCCGATCATCATCATACTTGTGATTGCGCTCAGGGGAGCTTCAAAGGTTTCTACGTGTTTTTGCAGCGTTGAGTAATGTATCACAGACATATCTCACGAATCCTTTCATAAGCAAAGTGTAGACAGGGTGTAAATAAGAGATTCATTGCGCAGTGTAGAGAGCTTCGTTGATTATAAATGTGAGATCGAAATGAACTAAGATGAGTGACAGCTTTTAATGATTTTGAAGGGAGTTTGTAAATGTGATAACTGATTTAATACAATACAATTCAACAAACAAGAAACAAGATGATATTTTAAGCTCCTTATGTAGCCGAATCTGCGCTGGTTTGAATGGGCCGCCTCCAGTTTCCCCTTTGTTTTGCTGCCTCCAGCTAGTGCTGTGACATCGGCTGACCCTAGTTAGCTGTGGTTGGCCTGGCCGTGCGTCACTCGGAACACAACAGGCCAATCAGAAGAGAGGCTCATGAATATTAATTAGACAGGCCAAAATCGACCTGTTCTCAGCAGAGCTCCTGAGAGAGGAGCTGTAAAAACATATTGAGATGGTTTTTGGTACTTATACCGCAAATATATATTCTTAAGGACATCAAAACCTCAAATAAAACTTCAGAAAGGTGGGACCTTTAAAGCATCAAATAATGATGTGAAACGCGGATGTTTTGCATGTCTAAAGCATATAAAGTGAATAAACTAGTCTTCATCAGCTCACCTTTTTACATAAACAATGAGAAACCATAAAAATTTCCATTTGGCCCTTCATTTGTGTGTTCGGTTCATGCATGTGAATATCAGCGGCTCGTCGGTCTTCGGTCCGAGTCGAACTGTTTCCTCAGTTCAGTG